TATATAATAATCAGTTCGATTAATTGTCAGTTTTTTGTGGATGTGCCTAAGGCGCCCATGTGTGAGGAGCAGATCCCGTTCCCTTTCCTTCAGCTTTCCAGCCTTTGATTTAAACAGAATCGCTCTGAAAAAGTGTATTTGGACTTTTTAGGTTCCTTGATTAAACATAGCTTCTAATCATTCCGGTTTCACCTGGACAGTGCCACCTGTCTTGTTATTAGTTATTACACGAGGTAGGGGAGAAGAGTCGCTTGCATGGCACGTGAGGCGCGAGGAGAAGAGTCTAGAAGGTGACAGCTAACTTCAATGTTCAGACATGCAAACCTTCAAGCAGGGGTTTGAAATTTGAGGACACCGTGACGTAAGCTCCAAGGATTTCACGGCGCGTATTTGCCTATTAGGAGGATTCTAACACGTGTTGCTTAAATTGCTTATCAGCCTTATCTGAATTCTGATCCTTCGTGGCCTGAGCTTGATTAGCCACTGGTTTAACGGCTCGACCAATCGTAACCGTGGAGAAGAGGAAAAGAATAAGTGTATATTACGCATCGCATGAACGTAGCCCCAACTCTGATTGGTGGACGTAAAGTAGTGAAGGCCGGCGGGTCCACTAAATAAAGTCAGATGCCTAGACCCAGGCTATAAAGTACAATGAAGCCCAAGATCCCTCTCAGGCTATCACCCACCCAAAGTGATCCACAAATACAAAGTGAAAATTGAGAAAGAAGCATTGATATTGTAAGGGAACATCAATTTATGGATTATGGTGGGAGTGGGACCACTCCTACTCCTACCTGGTAAAATCATCTAAGCACTAAGCTTCTCGCAATTATGTATAATCTGGTGGATTGTTTAATCTTTTATGGTGGAGAGGATTCAGGGAAAGGGAAAGTGATCGCGATGGATTCATGATCCAGTTACCTTATTGGAGAGATTGATATCATACACTTTTGATCCACAAATTAGGAGGGTTTGTTGGGATGTCTGCGCTTTATGGTTGTGATGAATTGACCTTTACGCTGCTTAAACTTGCCACGTAAAAGCAATGCAGCCATGTCAAATACACTTTCTGAAGAAACCGTTGCTTGGGAATCTTCGAGAGGGACCACAGCCCTGCCTATATAGATCTAGATACAGTTTATCAGCCCCCATCAGCCTCCGCTCAAACCCGAAAACTCTGTGGCTAGTGGAGTTTATTTTCCAGGGAGACGTTTCCTGGGGCGCTTCATCCTTGGTTCTTGGACTTGTTTTGGTGAAACAGCTGTTCCGGTCCCACCAGCACTGACCTCCCCCGGGTCCACGCACTCCAGCTGCTCTTCATTGTTTGAGTTGACCCAAGCACGTCCACCACTTGCTGCAGCAGTTGGATGGACCTTGGACGGGACATATTACCTCCCCCGGGTAATCCGATTTACAAAACTTCGAATTTGCTGATCCAACCCGCCAACCCGACCCAACCAAATGCTACCACCCACCACTCCATTGGCAATTACATCTCCGCATGGTGGCAAGATGGCAACTTGTCTGCGCTTCTCTTGAACCCAACTGGCCAAGTCACATATGTCAATAGAGGTGATTGTTCCTGGCATTCGAGTCTTCGTACAAGCCTGCATGCTTTGTCACAATGTATACCGTGTACTAAAGTCCGATAAATCCAAGGCCTTAATTAACCCGATCGAATGACTTGTCATCAGTGGCCATCGGAGATCGGACCTTCAAATTTCAAAAACTTCGCAAGAAAGGCCATAAATGAATGGTAGAGATTGAAGTGATTTAATGATAGTGTTCCCAGTGATCTAATGGTAGAGATTAAGTAAGCTCCATGGATCATATTACGGATGAGATGACTGAAACAGGTATTGTGCTTCATTATTTGCTTTCAACTATCATTCTTTACAAACCATGAATTAACGCTTAAAATTAATTATATTTTGTACACAAATTTACATTGAAACTTATTTCAGATCCGGTCCACTCAGGAGACTCCACGTGCAATGAGGTCAAAGATCCTCTCCCCCCAATCTCTCTCTGACCCAAATAAAAAAGTCAACTCCCGGCGGCAGCGGCTCGACGAGCGGTGCACGTTAGCCACGGTTCAAAGTCTGCCACAAAGATGCGCATTGTTTCCTCGCAAACCCAACTCTTCGCTTCTCCAGGTCATACACCACCTCAAACCCCTGCTGCTGATAATTGCCCAACGTAGCTGCGGGCCCGCCCGATTCCGCGTCATCTCCACCGTTCATCACCATCAAACAACCCGCTTTTCTTTTCTTTCCCCCTCCGTCACCACCGTTGGTGAGCCCAAAGAAGTAATTTCGACTGGGCAGAACCACGCTCGCATTGCCAACAAAATGGAACACTAGTTTAGGCACCTTGGGGAACTTGTCAACCGAGTCATCGTAGTAATAACACGGACCGAGTCCCGTCTGATCCTCGACCACAGTTGCCCGCTCATATACTTGTCCGACTCGGTGGTCGAACTCGGCCACCATTGTTTTATACAACCCGGCTGGGAGCATAGTAAACGTCGTGCCAGAGTCAACCACCATTCCGCCATTCCCCTCCCTGTTTACTCGTTTTAAGCTCTGCGACGCCGGAATACGAGTACTGCCTACGGAGACCGCTTCCAGCCCAACACAGTAAAAGTATGGATGTTTCGGGTTGTCAAGCATCGGCGTGTATAGAAATTCGCCATCACCACCTTCGTTGCCGGACCTTTTCTCTTTCTGATAACGACCAAGAATAAGCGGGCTCGGTCGACGAATGCGATTAACATCGAACGAATGAGATATTAAACAGTAGGAGAATTGGCTACCGAGTTGGGGAGAGACGTGAGCGAGTTGGGCAGGCAGAGAGAGGATGCCTTGGCCGAAGCCGGCAACGCCTATTGGTTCGGCAAGTGCGGTGTGAGCGCAGCCGAATGTGAAATTTGGTAGATGAAGCGATGGAGACGAGTAAGGGATTGAGAAGCTATCACGGTACAAACGAGCAATCAGACTTCCATCGCCATAAGCATAGTAGAAAGGAGGGCAAGAGAAGGAGGAGCAATCGGAAGTCTCAATAGTTTCTAATGGGCATCGAGCAATAGCGCAGAGGTCGGAAGACGGGAGGGATGAATGGACCGCGGAGCAGGCAGGGGAGTTGCAGGAGACGCGAGAGGCAGAGGAGACATTAGGAGGAGTGGCGTCCGCAGTAACGGTGGTGTCGTATTTGTCTTCGCAGAGTATGCATTCGAATGGTGCGCAAGGAAACCAGACAAGGTCGCTTCCAGTGTCCATGTAAAGAGAGATGGTTTGAGTTGGGTTGGAACCGAGGGAGAAGGACAGAGTATAGTCGCTACCTGGAGAAAGGGGTAGAGAGATTTGACGCTGATTCTGGTGGTGCCGGTGATGGTGACGGAACCTGGTGGTGGAGCGAACAGAGGCGGCCTTGAGAAGGTTGTGGGTGTGATTGAATTCGGTTTCTGAGAGTGAGTGCGTGAGAGGCAGAACAATTTGTGAGGACGAAAGAGATAGGTGCTCAATAGCTATTGCGAAGAAGAGTAATGAAATGAAGGAAGCCATGAACGGAGAACAGGAATGAAAAGAGAGGGAGGCGTTCAGAGATCAGAGGTGGGTGACACTCGAAAGAACTAAGACGAAGCTTCTGGTTGAGGCTTTTATGAGCAATAAAGCGAAGTGAAGCGTAGACTGCTTACATAGACCACATATAGACCGTGAAAGAGAGAGAGAGAGAGAGTGAGAGTTATCACTTATCATCTCATCTCTCAATGAAAGTAAATTTATAATAAAATAACACTAATAAATCACTCGAAGTCTCGAACGTCTATTTAATGGAGGAGTTGGGAATGGGAGAGGGGGACATCTGTTTGGTATTTGGTGATTGGTCGTGGACTAAAGTCTCTAAAGAGGTGGTTGGCTCCTGCGGCGCATATTAGAATTAGAAGTGGCAACTCCACCATGCTATGTTGCTAAGGGCTCAGCCTCGGCTAGACTGCCATGTATACAATTCAAATTGGTTGGCTTTTGAAGCCCGCTTGAGGATGGATTCGATGAGGCGCAACGTAACTCATGTAGACTACAGAAATGCGTACCCTCTCTCGCATTGGTAGCTGGTCCCCTTGTTTCAGACTGTCCATTTGATTCCACAATTCCCTAATGGAGCCATCCTGAAAACGACAACCACGAATTTTTAAAAATCTGTTAACGTGTGTGATTGATATTCAAGTACATCAAACGGTCATGATTGTTCAGGGGGGGAATCTTCTAGTCTTGAGTTTATCTCCTTTGGGCGTCTCCGAGAAATGGAAATTTTTGGGGTTACAGTCTTGTCAAATCCAGCTAGAGTGGCCTCCCTTTCATGTTTCAAAATCAAATTTTATAGACGAAAACACCCTTACAGGGAATGATGACAAGAAGCGGCTAGGAATCAAAGTTCGTTCGTATATGGAAAAAAGAACAGATGGGCATTATAGTCATACAGAATTAGAAGGAAGAAGACAATCTGCTTTCAGCTTCGGGTTTTCTAATTCTCCAAGCTACCAAAAGAAACCCAAAAAAAAAAGAAGGGTTTCCCAACAATTTTCCAGCTCTGCTATTGCCAGCTGTTTGAAAACAAAGCCGCTTACTACAATGCAGCCGCGTGTCAAATTGACGCGTTGTGCTTCGTGCCGAAGTGGCAGTCTGATGTGGGCCTAGAAAGAGTAGGTATCTTCCTTTCATGGGGATTTGGACAGAGATTGTCGTGACCTGCCTACCTACAGACGAGCCACAAGGACACGAGTGGCCAACAACAAAACCATAACAGGGGTTTTTTAATGATATTTTTGGTGAAATTGTCCATGCATACACAGCTGTAGCTCTGGAACCAATAAAGGCTCACGTAGACGTAGGCAGGCGAGACTTGAAAACGACGTCATCTCTTCTCTCTGCCTTGACTAAAACAACGGTGAAGACAAGCTCATAGAGCATGGGAAAGCATGGAGAGAGAGAGAGATGGATATCACGGTTCACATACCCAAAGGAGGAAAGTTCATTCATTCATTCATTCATGTTCATGGTGTCTCGTCTTACGTGAGTCGTTTTCAATGTTATATGTGCCAGCTGCTCGGCAGGTTGACTACCAAACTATGATAAAAGTAAACTAAATGTTAGTATTAGCTTCTTATTTTATAGTGTGAATTTGGTAGAAAAACATTTGTTTACGAGAGTGACCTAAGGGGAAGTTGCACCCGATTTTGTCAGAGCAAAATCCGTTCAAACAACCATCATAACCTTGCATTTGAGAATATCTCCCCATAAAATAAAGTACGGAGATATTCTCAATGCAAGACTGTAAAAACTGTTCGAGCACTGTTTAAACGGGCCTTGCACTGACTGAATCCCATCTCCACCGGTTCATCTTCTTAAAAAAAAATTGATTCAAAGCTTTTTAGAAAACTCCATCTCGTCCCGTGGAGTAGACAGCCTACTGTTTTTGTCCGTGCGTTAACTGGAAAAGACAAAAGAATGGTGGGAAAACATGGATTATGGCCATACAACAGGACTGGAGCTCTTGTCATCAACCCTGGATGATTCTTATCCAAGATCAATAATGAGATGGTACTGTCAGAAGGTATGTCATTGGATGAATACAGAGCAGAATAGCAGATAGCAGCATGGCTGCTGCTTCTTGCAAGGACATACAGGACCCAGCATGGATACAAAGTGGTTGTTGGAACCCAAATTGAAGAATAACGTATGTTAAAGATGGAGGAAGACATGAAATCCTAATCCAATAGAAAGGGAGTTGTCTTAAAGCTAATCACATCCCAGTGAGTCATGGTCTTGGCCTGCCGATGGAATGGATCATCTAGCGGGCTATTACATTGGGACCTGGATCCTGGCTGCAAAACTTCAATATCCATTTTGTACCCAAAAACCTTCGATATCAATATTCGTACGATGATGTAGGTATTTGGCATCAGTGCTGGGAACATCAAAGCCATATTGGACTTGTGTGAGTTGTAAGTATCATTTTTTTAGAAAACAATGCTTATTTTTTATTTAGAAGTGATACTGCCACATAGGCTGTTTTCCGGGAAATCAATATTGATTTTATTTGATATCAGTGTAGAACTATTTTCAGCATTAGTCATAATATCTAACGTCCAAGATGAAGTACATTGATGGCACAACATTATACCACTGGCAGCAACGAGATGTTCTATAAGAAAACATCAAATTTGGTGTTGTTTCATACCACACTTTCTTGATTTACAAGGCATAGTCTAAATGAACTTTTTTTATAAAAAATAGTATAAAATAAGATGTTGTTTTTTGAAGCACCGCTTTTTTCTGATATAGCACCTAGTGCCATTTTCTTCCAAAACGGCATCGATACCAAACATCTACGATATCTTGACCCAAGATTCAAAAAGCTTTTCTGAAATATCAGTCCACCGAGTCCGTGTTCCATGAACCCATGGGTTCACAAAACACGTGAACCCGCCAATGAGGGAAGACCACATCGTCCAGTATAGATGGGCTAACTTTAACAGGGTTTTGGCCATTAGTTGGGTATGCGGTTGAACCAAGGAACAAAACGATAAAAATTAAATTAAACCCTCCACAGTTTGAACCCTCTTTCCCCTTTTTCTGCTTTTCTCTTTTCTCCGCCACCGAACCCTCTATCCCACACCGGCCATCATCCATCGGCTGTAAGAGCTCCGACGGTACGCTCTTCTTCTTCTTCTTTCTTACAAAGGTGTTCCTGGTTCTCTGTTTGGACAGATCGAAGGTGACCCCGAACCATCCATGACAGTTTTGTAAGAAGCAACTGAGGTTCGGGGTCACCTTCGATCCACCCTTACTTCGCTACAAACTAGACGCAGTTGACCTCTTTGCAACTCCAGAACAATAACTTTACAGGAAAAATTCCTCCTAAGATCGGTAGATTGACATATCTCACTATCCTCTTCCTCTACAATAATCACTTCTCAGGTGTGATACCCCCAGAGATTGGAAACCTGAAAAACTTGCAGCAACTAGACCTATCGGTGAATGCTCTCATAGGTCCTATACCTCACACAATTGGAAATCTATCAAAGCTTGATTTCTTACAGCTTTTCTACAACAATTTGACTGGAACGATTCCACCGAAGATTGATATTTGATAACATGTCATCATTACGGACGCTTGATCTCAACAAGAATCAATTGCAGGGTGAGGTGCCAGACACCATCTCCCGCCTTGAATATCTTGAGACGCTCTTGTTTACCAACAATTTATCGAGTAGCATTCCAAAAGAATTTGGACAGCCTAGTAATTTGGCTTATGTTAGCTTTTCCAACAACAGCTTTTCCGGTTAGTTACCGTTGGAATTATGTAATGGCTTTTCACTCTACCATTTGTCAATCAACAACAACCATTTCACAGGGCCATTACCTGATCGCTTGCGCAATTGCTCACAACTAGTTAGAGTTATGTTTGATGGAAACCAGCTCACTGGGAACATATCAAAGGCATTCGGAATACACCCAAATTTTTTGTACATAGATCTCATCGGTAATCAGTTGTCTAGTGCATCGTTTTTAAAACCGAACCGGGGTCCCGTTATCGGTTCAAACGGCCCGGTCGGCCCATTCTGACAAAAAAAAAGGAAAACAGTCAAAACGGTTTGAACGGTTCAAATGGTTAACCGTTCGGTTCAACAGTTTGTTGACCAAAATCAATGGATTTGGAGGAAAAGCGGTTTTGGAGGAAAACGGAAGGTGACCAGTTCCCGGTTTTTCCAGTCCGACCATCCGGTCCGGTCCGGTTTTGAAAACAGTGGTTTAGTGAGCTCTCCCCTATGGTGAGATTCCAACCAAGCTTGGGAAGTTAACACAATTAGGCTATGTTTGGTTTGAAGGAAAAGGTAGGGAAAGGTCAGGAAACATATACAAGGTTTGTGAATGTTTTCTTACCTTTCCCTTTCTTTCTCTACTTTTTCCTTCAAACCAAACACAACATTAGGGGACCTAAGTTCTGTCTTCAAATGACCTGAGGGGGTAAATTCCAGCAGAATTAGGAGATTTAAACAGGTTATTCAAGTTTAACTTGAGCAACAATCACTTGACAGGAGTGATCCCTTGGAGCATTGGCAATTTAAGTAGGCTACAAGTACTTGACTTGTCGGAAAATGTATTAAATGGCATCAGAGCTTGGAAGCTGCACCAATTTGAGGTTCGGGGTCACCTTTGATCTGTCCAAATAAAGAACCAAGAACACCTTTGTAAGAAGAAGAAGAAGAAGAAATGCATATCGCTAGAGCTCTTGCCACCTATGGATGATGGCCAGTGTGGTGCATTCACCGACAGTAAGAGAAAAGTAGAAAAGGGGAAGGAGGGTTGATAGGGTTTAATTTAACTTTTATCGTTTTGTACCTTGATTCAACAACATACCCAACTAACGGCCAAAACCCTGTTAAAGTTAACCTATCTACCTGGACGACATGGTCATCCACCAATATTGAAAAGGATTTCACTCTCACATAACTTTACGAGAATGACTGATTAATCCAATTCAGAATTCTTTAGCCCTTCTGTACAAGGGTGATGAATCCGATGAATTGATGTCAAATCTACAGGTAAGATGTGATTTATAGAGATTACTAATAGACTTTAGGAGACTGTAATTCATATTCATAACTCTGCAGTAACCTACACAATACTTTTCCCCATAAATTATTCACCTCGGCCGTGCATTTCAGGACGCGTATGCTACTGATGAATTCTGAATTTATTGGTGCAATCTACATAGGCCGATCCCTGAGGCTAGTCCCCTAGCATGTAGCATCTAAGCCATCATCCTAAATGTGCGTCGATATTGCTGCTCACCGGATCCCAATCGCAAGACGTGTGTTGGGACTTGGGAGCATATCCGGACTCGACACGCTCTGTGCGGCCTAGATGCTAGAGGCTCAGGCCAGTACCAATTTGGGGGAGCAACGCCAAATTTCTTCACTTGTGCGCTTGATGTGCCACCAAACGGCGTTCCAAATTCCGCTGCCTGCACATCAACTGAACTCAGAAGACAGAACAGAACCACTAAGCAAACCTTTTTCACTTGTAAACTTCCACCAAAACGGACCCATTTCATCAGTCCTAGTCTGAAATGCCAGCTCGAACGAGGAGAAATAAAGGCATGTTGGCCAATTGCCATTCTATTAAAAAATCAAAATGCAAAGCAATGGACAGAAATGGTAACCTACGCTCCTGCATTATAGTTAATATATATTTGTTCTAATCTAAACATTGCTAACATTGCTTTTGCAAAGGCACTAAGATGCATCTTTCTCTTCTTCCCATTATTATATATTAATAATTACTTGGTGCTCTCTGAAAATAAGGGTGCTTTGATAGTTGTGTATCAGGAACTTGCTTTTAAGAGAGGTTAAATAAGGTACGTGGAAACTCGAGACGACGGAAATCAACACAATGGTCTGACAATTAAATACAATTCACCAAGTAGAAGAGCATAGAGCCCGTGCTCACACCGTTTCAACAGTCTCTCCCGGCCTTGCATATTCTGTTTGAATGGGCGGACATTGTACTGATCGAAGCTGAATTCGAGCATAAGTGCCATATTTCTAAATTTAAAATGCATTTTGAGAACAACTGTAATTTATAAAAACAAAAAAAAAAATCCAGGGGAGTAGCACTGATACTCGAGCAGCAACATCGGCAATCAGGACAACCAGTGGCGGAAACACCGGGCCCTTTTATTGAGTAATGTGTCATTCATATACAAGAAACCACATCTGTTACCAGCAAACGCTTGAAAAAAACCACCTTAACCACACATCAGGAACATCCCCTCGTGTTCCCAACGTGCGGCTGTAGTGGCTCGTTGGGAGAAGTTTCGAAACTGTGCTACCATCTGGTTAAAAAGAGTACATGATCTTCCTTTTCTAGATACATGACTAATGACTTGATACTTGATTTTCTTGGATGCTCTCAGCTAATTCTGAAGAGAAATCTCCTGGAAGTTCTAAGGTCCTCTCCCTTAATTCTCCAGCCCCCTCTCTCTTTATCCCCTAGATGCTAGACCTCCCACTGATTTCATCCTGCAGTTTGATGGAAGTCTAAAAGACATTCTGGGGTTATTATGACTGGAAGTGGATGAGTTATATTGAGAGTTGACGGTTTTCAGATCTGGGATTTTAGTGGTCCAGACACTGCTAGGGATGCTTTTGAAGACCAAGTACAAGTCCTTGAGGGTCTCAGATTTGATAAACGTTTGTCTCTGAGGGTCTCAGATGCCTTTGAAGACTAACAGCTTAAATTTGTCTTGAACAGTCTTGGATATTTTTTTTATCAAAGCCCTTTTTTGTTTAGCCTCTCTTGTCTTTGTTCTCCCTCTTTTGATTATATTCGCCACCTTTTTTTTTCAAAAAAAAAAAAAAGAAAGAAAGAAAAGAAAAGAACAGGAGATGCTTGAATGGATAATCATGATTGTCAGTTAATGCAAAAAAAAAAAGGTTAAAAAATAGGATTTGTCTATAAGTGCATTTACCCATGTTCTTTTATTTCCCATGTAAATAAAGTAATAACCATTTTAACCATAAAAATTTATTATTAAAAGGGGCATTTTTGTCTCATTCAAGTATTGGCAACTTTCCCTCCTAGGTGGGAAAATTATTTTACCCACCTAGGAGATGAGTATCACTAATTCGGGTAAGTGATACCCAGGAAAATAAACTTTCCCTAGTCCCCACATAAATCTGAAAAAACATGTGTTTCTTGGTCAATGGGAATCAAAATTCCATTGACCAACTTTCCCCCCTCTCAAAATCCAAAAAAAAATAACACCTCCAAAAGTGTATGAATAAAGTTTAATCATAAATGGATTATAAGAAAGAAATACAATTTTAAGGCATGCATCTAGATACACTTTGCAACAACAAAAGTATGCATGTATAATAGAAAAATTAGGTCATTAGATTAGAACATCAAATTAAACCAATATTTAGTGAAATATGTTGTTTTTAAGTTCACTTAAAGCCTGATTATCATAACATGATGTAACTTGATGGTGACAACTCTAGCAAGTCATGCGGGAAACTTGGGTTATAAGTCTTGTTGACAATACATTGTTATGTATATTGTGATTCACTCAAATGCATTTGAAAGGGCCTGTTTGTTTCCTCTTAACTCTTATCTCTTAAAATGAATCTTTTAAGTTTAAGAGAAAAATGGTTGTTCGTTTCCCCTTATCTCTTATCTCTTAAAGTGCAACCATACAACTTTTTGTTTTCTAATGATACCCCCAAAAAGACAAACAAAAACTCTCATATATGGGGTCAAAATGGATATTTGATAATTTTCAGAATTCAAAACAACATTCTCTGCATTCAAAGTTCAGAGGAAAGAAAATTTCACCAACACCAATATACCACTTAATGCAACTATTGTACTCTCAGATGTTAGACTTCAGAGCAAATAAACAGGCCCTAGTTTGGAAAGAGTACAAATATTTACAGTACTAAACTTGTATTTGCACCATACATATTTGTATTTGTACTCTTTCCAAACTGAGCCTTAAAATTTTGATTTTATTCAAATATGAAAATTGCATTCAAATTTAATGGACTAAAAAGTTGCAACCAATTAACCAAATGAGTTGCCTTACTAAATAAATAAGCAAACAAAGATTAATGGACAATGAATGAGGTAATCAATATAGTAAAATACAAAACTTAATGGGCTTGTTATCAGCCTGTATTAGCCATGCATCGGTCTGTTTTGACATGAGTACATAGCTGATACAGGCTAATATGAGCTCGGTCTACATGAGCACAAAGTGACCAATAAACATGGATACCTTGCTGATACAGGCTAATATGAGCTCTGAGCTCGGATCAGGTAAGCACACTGAATAAGCACTCGGGAAATTTTGTGACACCTGTCCCATAAAATACCTCAGCCTACCCTTCAAATGATTTAAACAAAATTCTAATACAGCTGTGAGAATATTTATTGAATGCTTACTGAATGTGCTCACAATAGTGTGCCTACTGGATCCGATCTCAGCTAATATAGGCGGGCACCTGGCATGGATCAGTAAAATTATAATCACAACAATACTGGGCCACTCCACCTATGCCACATGTCAGTATAGCCAAAAACCAATACATATCAGACTGTATCAGCCAGCACATGTCAATACTTTAAATCATGGATATGAATGTGAAGATATAACACCTGACCTAGCCAATATATCTGAAATAGGGTCAAGTTCCTCTAGAAATCATCAAACCTAACCTGAAGAGCATGAAAGAATCTTCCCTGCCTTAAGCCAGATGCTCAGCAAGCCCCGTAGCCTCTTCCTACTGCATCTAATAGCATTGGATGAATCCTTTTCACTTTGTGAAGAGCTAAACAGCAATCCCCTGGCAATTTGAGTTCCAGTAAGGCAGTAAGTACCTCTGCCTCAGATGAATCCAGTATTGAATTGACAGCCAAGAGAATTGGAATCCAATACCGTGTCTAGGAGTCTGACATGGACTCAGGGGCACATCCAAAATCAAATTTTACTATTAAAAAACTTCCATATCTTGTGAATTCTTTCATTATATACTTGTATAATATTGTGCAAGTAAATCCAATGGTTAATCTGTCACCTAGAAACATTCAATAAGAGAAAATGGAAACCATTATGTATATAAGATATATTTAATTACTTATGTCAAAGATGCAAGGTGAAGGAGGAATACCACATGTAGAAGCGTCCTTAGATGCTGGAATTGACGCATGTCCAATTCATACATTTTTTTTCCATTTAAGAGACTCCATATAACACTGGTTGTATCAGCGTTTCATATGGAACCACCGAAGGGACATATTGTTCCGGCTAGGGGTGTGATTCAGATGGTTCATTTCAGTTTGAATAGAAATTTCGAACTTAACTGACATTTCAGTTTGACCATTTCTTAAACCATACCAAACTGAATTCAGTATCAAAACTAAACCAAATTTAAATTGGTTTGGTTCGGTTTCAAAACAGTTTGGCAACAATAAATCATGTGGAATGTGGCTTCAAATTCTATAATTGATGGGAACAGATTGACAATGGCAATATTGGCTGTTAATCACCAAATTTATTTTTTAGAACGAGTAAAGTCTAAACACACAAAAACCCAGTCAGCATTAGGACACAGAACAAAGAGCCACACAAGACCCATACCCTAATCTAGAAAAATAATCAAAATAGGATACACAACAAAGATAATACCATCGCTTATAAAGTAGTAGCAGAAAACCATAATGAAAACTTGAGAGAGAGAGAGAGAGAGTACCATCAACACTAGGAGTGAGACCATATCTGTGCCACACTTCAAGCGGCAGCAAACCATAAAGGAAAGTAGCAGCAGCTGAATGGTTTTTGAGTGCTCTTTGAGTCTCCAACAGGGAGTCACAGAGGGCTAGAGAGAGAGAGAGAGGCTCTTGCATTTGGGGAAAAAATCTAAGTATTGGTTTTTACAAGTGATACAGTGTCGACAAACTCACTGTAAGTTTAAGAACTAACAAATCAAATAATAATAATTTATGAATGTATTATATATTTTTAATATTTATTATCCACTTTTCAGTCTGGTTTGGTTAAAAACTTTGTCAAATCGAATCAAAACCAAAAAGGCGAATCTTTAAAAAAATCAAATTGAGCTGAACTACAAACCAAATAAACCGAACCAAATTAGCTTATTTGATTTGGTTCAGTTTGGTTTTTGGTTCAGAATCCAAATTTGAACATCCCTAGTTCTGGCCTCTCCATGGAGGAAAATTCAACCAATACCATCCAGTCCTATATTTCCAATGAACTGCCATGACATTGAAGCCTTACCAACCCAACCACTAGAGAGAGGGATAGAAGTAATTTCCATGAAATCAAGAGGCCAGTGTTGTAAGGCTTGAGTGTTCCTTGTAACTGATGTTAGTGGGACAGTTTCAGCTACTAGTCCTTTCTTTCTTTCTTTTCTTATTGTTCTTATCCTAGGCTATGCCGCCAGGGGCATACTTGTATTTTTGCCTTTTTATAAAGATTAATATAAATAGAAGACTGGCGGCTGCCAGTAGTGAGTTATGCTTTTCTTTCTACCATCTGTACCTCTCTTTTCTCTCTCTCTCTCTCTCTCTCTCTCATCACAAGAAACAACATGGTATCAGAGCGGAATTTCTGGGCTGGAGAAGACCTACGATCCTAGCATCAGTCTTTCCAAAGGGGATTGGACATGACTACTTTTGTTTCAGAAGAGAAAAACAAAAAACCCTAGCGGCGGCTTGTGTTTTCAATTTTCTCTGGCGGCTGTGCTTGCAGAAACCCTAGTAAGTCCTGCGGCTGTACTTCTGCTGAAACCCTAGTGGCTCCATGCGACAGTTACTAAAAACCCTAGCTGTGTCTAGCCGTGGGATGGTGCTGGTCTGCTGAAACCCTAATCGAAGGAGGTTGTTGATGGTGCGATGAAACCGTAGCAGGTTCTGATCTAGTGCTGAACAGATGTGGTTCTAATCGAAGGAGGGTGTTGATGGTGCAATGAAACCCTAGCAGGTTCTGATCTAGTGCTGAACAGGTGTGGTTTTGTTTCAGTTTATCTCAGTATTCTTTATCCAATGGTGTGTAGGGCTTATGCCTTGATTATATGATTACTAGTTTGAATAATTGGATGGTTAGAGTGGGGGAACCACATTCGGACAGACAGTAATGTCTGTATTGGTGGTGCTGAACCGATGACTGGACTATTTATTGTTCTGTTTGGACGTTGTAATGACTGACCTCTCATTCTCAGCAGTAGTTCTTGTGCTCTCAGCAATATTCAATAGTTTGTTGCTCACATTATAGGAGTAAACCCTGAGTTGCCACATTCTAGTTGTGGCGGCTGTGCTGTTAGGTGGCATTTAGACTGGTTGGTTGTAATTTTCAATGGCAAGTCATGAACTAACCTCACCGGGGAACACCTCAACCCGCAACACAGCAGGTATGGGAGGTGAAACCATGGTTTTTCCCATGCCAATTACCCCTTGAATGGTCTGAACTACCTGGAGTGGGCCAAGAGTGTAAAACTCTATGTAACAGCAAGGGGTAAGGCCGGTTATATCAATGGAAGGGTGAAAGAACCCAAGGGTGATACAGCTGAACATGATAGGTGGGACCAAGAAAACAGTATGGTGATGTCTTGGCTCCTCACAGCTATGGAACCTGATGTGAAGAAGAATTTTATGTGGGCAGACACCGCCAGTGAGATCTGGGAACAGGCCAGAAGTACCTATTCTGAGCAAAGGCATTATGCCAAGATTTACCAACTACAAGCTGAGTCCTCTACCTGTAAACAGGGAAACTGTAGCTTGTCCTCATATTATTCAGCTCTTACCTCCATATGGAAGGAGTTGGACCATTATCAAGCCATGATGATGCTAAGGCCTATAGGAAGCTGATCTCTCAGCAACGAGTGTTTGCTTTCTTGTTAGGGCAGAACCCTGTATATGAACCATTAAGGGTGCAGATTCTAGGAAGCAAAGAATTGCCTATAGTACACGAAGTATACCCCCTTGTCCAATCTGAAGAAAGCAGGCGAAGTGTGATGGTTACAGCCGAGGGGGAGCAACAAGTTGCCTTGGCTGCGGTGAATAACAGCCCAACAAGGAAGAAAGGTGATCCTAAGAAGGCAGACAATAAAGATAAACTCTTTTGTACCCACTGTAGAAGGTCACGACATACACGTGACACCTGTTGGGACATCCACGGGAAACCCAAGTGGGCAGCAAAGAATCAAGAATAGGGTAAAGGTCACGTGAAAAGAACAAGTGCAGCACATGTGGCAACCCAAGACACTCAGGTTGCCGGTAGTACCCGGAACCCTCCTAATAAACCTGACCCCAAGGAGGATATAATGAATTCTTTCAGAGAGCATCTGGAATCTTATGGTAGGGCATTGCGGCAATTGGACAGCTCAGTCACTGGTACTCCCTCTACCTCTTTTGCATCTACTTCAGGTAATGTGGCTTCT